GGACTCATAGGGATCCTCCTGTTTTCAGCCTCCCAAGTGCTGGGATTACAGGCACGCACCACCACGCCAAGTCTCAGTCGCCATCTAATCAAGCCCAGGGGGCAGAGCTGGCAAGGCAGGCTGGGGATCGAACTCCAGCCCCTGCATCTGCCTAAGCAGGCACTTTTAATCCGCTGAGCTATCTGGCCAGCCCTGGCCTAAATATTAATAAGGAATTCTTATTATGTGAGCATCAGTTTCTGAGACTCTCCCTCTTTTGTACCTGCCTAAAAAGAAATGTTTTCTTTTTGCCTTTTTTCAAAGATAACTTTGGAAAGAACTCAGAAAGCAGCATTTCCTCATTGGCGCCTTGGCAGGGAGGACAGGTGGGCATCTAAGGTTTCACAGCCGGGAGAGCCGCGCTGTCGGAGTGGCGCCCAGGCCGCTGGGGCCGCGCATAGCGAGGGCCGTGTCATGTGTGACTTGTAAAGAGCTGGTGCTGCTGCTAGAACCAGTGCGCGACACAGGTAGAGCCGATGGAGTAGTGTTGAAAGGGAACATAGGAAGGCGTTGATTTACCCAGATTTAATCGAAAACAAGGAGTGCAATGCAACATTTAAAGAAACAATAAAATGCAAAGTTGTCTTTTGCATGTAAGCATAGCAACTTTTAGAGAGGCGATAACATAGAAAAGGTTGGGTAAAAAGAGCTCAGTCCCATAATTTAGCAGTCTTACGTATATCAAGCTTATACATGTTTAATTCACGTAGCACCAAATGGAGCAAAGTATTTTTCACACACCAAAACATTTTAAAAATATCTCTGGTGAACGAATTTTGGCTGAAATGGTACATGGCAGAATGGTTGAGCAGAAATGTTGATGTTGTGCTTGCGCGTACTTTAAAGTGACTCTGAAATCACAGCATTTTCTGTCCTCTCTGCAGTAATTCAGCACCGTTTACTCAGTTATTTTCAAATCTATGAGGCACTGGAAGAAATTATCCTGTGTCTCAGCAGTTTTTCTCTATTCTTTGAGTTTCCTGAGATGATAAAGATGTTCCTTCTTCAAAACTTTCTTCTATGATTATAAATAAGTTTGAGAATCACCACACGTGATTCCTACTAGATAGTCACATTGGAGATTCAAAATCCTGCCATAAAGGACTCTGTTTACCTTCTATTTGCCAAATGAGTTGGGTGAGCAATCGCAGGAAGACGTTTATGGGACAGATTCCTCTGTGTGTGTGTGTGTGTGTGTGTGTGTGTGTGTGTGTGTGGCACCGGGTCTCCTCCGTGCCAGGCAAGTACCCCACTACCCAGACAGACCCCGGTGAGCGCTACAAGCAGGGGCCTTTTCTGGGAGCTCGCCCTGGGTCACGATCCAGCACACATTCAGTTGTCAGACAAGTGCCAGGACAAAGCTTTCCTGTCAAAAGTGTAAGCAGTGCCAGCATAGACTCTGGAAGCGTGCAGGTCCCGCCATAAAGATTACAGAGAAAGCCATGACAGGGAGGGGATAGAAGGGGTGGAGACAGCAAGGCCAGCACTCTAGGAAGGAGCAGTATGGAGCGCATGGGGCAGGCGCAAGGGCCCTGAGGCAGAAGCGCTGGAGGAGGATTAGAAGCCAGGGAAGTGGGAGTGAGTGAAGAAGGAATGGAAGAGCTAACCAAGAACTGCACTTCGTAAGCCATGAATTTTATTCTAAGAGTCTTGATCAGGTTTGCATTTTAAAAGAATTGCTCTGGTAGCCACATGAGAAAAGGATAATAGAGAAGTTAAGAGTGGAGGCCAGACAGCCATCCAGTCGGCAAGGTTTGGAGAGGGATGGTGGTGGGTGTGGTGGGGCACTCAGGAGGCCGAGACAGGAGGATCACCACAGATTTGAGAGCCTGGGCTCCATAGTGAGCTGAAGACCGTCGTGCACTGCAAAGCGAGCGCCTGTCTCAATATCACCCCCATAAAGATGCCCCTGGAATACAAGCTGACGGGCCAAATACGATGGTAGGTGAGTGTGGAGGGTAGAGAGGTGGGACAAGAAGAGAAGCCACTTGGGGGAGTCGAGTTGATTTTAAACACGTTAAACTTGAGGTGTCTCACAGACTCCCACGTAGAGAGGCTGATTCAGCGAGGGAGTGTCCATGTGTGTTTGAACTTGTGGAGCTGGAAAACAAGCACTAAAAGGAACAATTGCCTGACTAGGTATCAGATGAGGGCTGAGCAGTGTCTCTTGTAGCGCAAAGGCAGAGAGCAGAGTCAGTACAAAGCCATACAGAGAGCCCCCAGCCGAAGCCAGAAGGAGCCAGGCAGATGGCCGCAACTGTCTAGAGGCTTTGGGGCACAGAAACGACTGCGTCTCAGCCAAGCTGAGGTCCACCTCGATGCACAGCCGGGCGGAAGTGGGCACATAGTGTACTTTTGCAAGTGCTGCTAATGACGACTTTCCTAAAATCGGCGGAGCAAAGGGGTGTGCGAGAGGCCGGGGAATGTGTGTCTGTCACGTGGTTTTTATCACATTCCTGGGTCAGGGGCTTCATTGCTCCAGCCCTGGCTCTGGCCTCTCCACCGGCCCTCGGCCTGCTGTGGCTTGTCCCTCCCTGGCACCTCCCAGTAAGCCCTGCTGGTCCTCAGTGACGCCTCACACTCATCGTGTTTTACAGACTGCTGCTCCAGTTGCTGGTGGAGCCTCTGGTTACTAGGAAAACGGTGTCAGGGCCCTAGACCACAGAACCTCGGCGCCAGCACCCCTGTGCGGGGCTCGCAGCTCACCCCCAGGGCCTTTGCCCCTCCTGTGCGTGAATCAGGAGGACCGGAGAGAGGTGTGAGGCTGTGCCTGCCAGCTCTCCAGCCTGGCTCCGTGCCCAGGGCTCCGCTCGGGCTGGCCCAGTCCCGGTGCTTATCATTTGAAGTGAGCCCATCTGGGGTCTCAAGCAGCCTTCATGAGGCACAGACCAAGAATTACCCTGCACAGAGCTTTCAGTAGCCACCTTCAGGTGTTGAGAGAAGAGAAAACTGTGTCAATCAGAAGGGGAGGGAGCGCTAGGGAGATGGCTCAGTAGAAGTGCTTGGCTGGCAAGCACAAGGGCTGGAGTTCAATCCCCGGTTCCGCCAAAAAAAAGGGAAGGGGGCTGGTGAGAGAAAACTTCTTTCATCCAGTGCAAACAGCACCAGGCACTGGCCGGTGTAGTGTGTTACCCTATTTATGGTGACAGCCGTGAGCTGCCCCAGGAAGAAGCATGTGAGCAACTGCCCGCACCCAGGAGTTCGGCTGAAAGCCCACCTAGTGGTGCTTGTGGGGCGCCCAGAGCTGTTGCCCCATCTTGCCTGGGAAAGCCCAGCGGATACTTAGAGCACTACTAGCGCAGATGCCGCACCAAGGACTGAGGCAGGCGCCAAGTCCTGGAGGACTTGGGCGTGCTCAGGTGATCCAGAATGCCAGTTTCCTCGTGTCTGCAGGAAGACACGTAGTGGGTAAAAGGGAAATGTACACACACACACACACACACACACACACACTGCTGACTCACCTAGAAAATTTAATGCAGAGACTTTTTTCTAGTAGTAACTAAGATTTGCCAAGCATTTTTAAAATCACATATTCTATGATAAAATGGAAACTTGTGTCTCTATTTGGGAAGAAATTGGAATGTTCTCCCTTCTGGTGCATTTTGATGTGTCCCAGGGCGTCTGCCCGGAGCCTGGTGGCAGTGGGAAGGCTTCTTGGTTCTAAATGGGGTTGGTTTGTTTATCTCACAGTTGGCTACTCAGATGGCCTGAGCTCTCTGGCCAAGGTGAAACAGAGAAGGTGAGAACAAGTTGTGTCTGGTCCTGGCGCTGCCCTGGGGCTTGGCTGCCTCACACCATGTGACCTGCAGAGGTGACTCAAGTCCTGACCTCCACTCCAGGATCACTCACATGTCCTCGCAGGGGGAGCCAGCCTGTCCGTGTGACTGCAGCATGGGCCAGCTGGGCAGTGTGCTAGGCCAGCACTGAGGCCGAGTCGCTGAAGTGGAGGTTCATTCCTAGGGTGCAGCCACAGAGGGAGCGCAGAAAGCAGCCTGCTCCACACAGGAGCCCTCGCGGGTGCCCTGCACCTTGCGCAAACGCGAAGGCTGCTAGGCGAGTGGCCAGCAGCCCTTCCCACGGCTAGCCTGGGAATTGGCCTCCAGCATCCTGAGTCGCAGCGGGGCTTCGTGTTTCTTTTCTTTATGGAGAGGTTCTGAGATAATGATTAGCCCCTGAAGCACACAGTCATTCTTTCTACACAACAATTGTGTTGTTTTGAATTGCGGAAGGAGGAAGAGACCATCTACCATAGCTATTACCATGGTGGTTTCCTTACTCCTGCTTAGGAAAAAAAGAAAGACTCACTGGGTTTAAAAAGCCTGAGATCTAGTTGGTGGTCTGGATTCATTCCACCTGCCATTCTCTCTTTGTGTATGTGTGCTTGAACTGTCCCGTGATTAGGCCTTCTTCATGCCATCCATATGTGAGACCTACATATGTGGCATGTATCTAGTCTAATACCTCCCTCCAGTCAGAACTGCATGCTGCTGTTTAAAGACTCCTCTGGGGCTGGTGAGATGGCTCAGTGGTCTAAAGCACCTACTTGGAACAAGCTTAGCAAAGCATCAGGGACCGCGGTTCGATCCCCCAGCACCACATGCCAGCCAGCCCCGCCCCCTGGTGGGCTGAGCTGGCCACACACACACACACAATAAATAAAAAATAAATAAATAATTAAAAAAAATAAAATAAAGACTCCTCTGACTGTAACTTTAGAGACAGGTTCTGCGCAAGAGCACATGGTGCGATGTTACATGGAAACCAAGACAAAGAGGTGGACTCAGCAAGCGGCACCTGCTTGAGCTTTCTCCAGTACGTCAAAACACCGGCACCGGGAAATTGTGGCTGTATTTTCCAAATGTTCTACACCTTCATAATGCGAAAAGTATTTTTAGAATGAAGGACCATGTTTGTGTGCTGGTGGGTGTTCGCTGAACTTGTGACTAATGTGTTTTCAGGGGCCATCACCATGGCTCTGCTAGAAAATCTGGTGGCCGGAGATGTGTACACTGTCAAGATCTCTGCGTCCAACGAGGTAGGAGAAGGGCCCTTTTCCAACTCAGTGGAGCTGGAAGTGCTTCCAAAGGACCCTGCTGGATCAAATCAGCGGCCCAAGCGTTTAGATTCTACGGATGCCAAAGGTGTGTGAAGCCCCCACTCACTGATTCTTTTTTTTTTTTTTTTCAGACCTGGGGATTGAACTCAGGCCCTTGTGCTTGCCGGGGAAGCACTTATTCCACTGAGCCATCTCCCTGGCCCCTGATTTTTTTTTTTTTTTTAAAGAAAAAAACAATTTTCAGGGGCCAGGGAGAGAGCTCAGTAGAGTAAGTGCTTGCCTGGCAAGCACAAGTTTCTGAGTTCAATCCCCGGTACCACAAAAAGAAAAAAAAAAACAAACAATTTTCAGGGTCACTATGCTTCATCTCAGCTCCTACAGCTATCAGGGTGTGAAGCACGTACATGTATGTGCGCGTGCCTGTGTGTTAAATTGGTGCTCTGAGGTTCTGGTGGTCTGGGGCTGCAGCTCTTCTCTGTAACCCTTGGCGGAAGCAAATCCACCTCAGCATTAATGGTGGTTTGCAGACCACTGAGCCCCTGACGTCTTTTCCCAGCCAGGCAGCCCGCAGAACAGAACGCCTGCGTGCACACACACACTCATATGCACACACACGTATGCGCATGCATGTCCAGAGGGGCCGCGGTGCTCAGGCTGAGGAGAGCCTGGCTCCTACTATAAGCTTTCACACTAAGAAAGCAGCCTTTCTGGAAAGAAAATGGCTCCTCTGCAGAAAAGCAAGTAGAAAACATATCTTTGAAAGCCACCTCTCTTCAGCTGTGCAGCTCTGGTCCGTCTTGAAGGACCAGGCCCTGAGCCTGGTCAAGGTGTATGTGTATGTGTACATTGTGCATACATGTATGTGTGTGTAAGGAGAGAGCTCTGCTATCAGATTTAAGGCCCAGAAAGAGGTGACCACCATAGCTTCAACATCATCAGAGAAGATATCACAGTTGCCTCTCACCTCAGGACAGCTGTGAAAGGATCAGGAAGCAGTGTTGTGGACGCGGTGACCCAGAGCCCAGCCCAGCTCGGCACCTGTGTTCTAACAGACCTGTCCACCCCTGGCTCTGACACTGTTAATTTGGCAGTGCCATCCTAATGGATGTCAGTGCCAGACGATAGCGTGCAGGTCTGCTTTTAAGGTAGCAGACAGGAAAGCTCCTCCTCAACACATCAAGAGGAGGTACAGGTGTGGGCAGGACACAGCCTACTCCCAGCTTGGGGAGGCTGAGGGAGGATCCTGAGTTGGCAGTCAGCTGGAGTAGCTTTGTGAGTGTTTGCCCAGTGTGCAGCCCTGGTTCAGTCTCATAAACCACACACTCACAAAAGAATATCTACATTATGTACTATTTGTGATGTAAATTATGAGTTATGTCTGATCCAGAACTTCAATACTGGGGCCAGTGAGATAGCTCAGTGGACTAAGAGCCCGCTTAGGCAAGCACAGGGACCGGGGTTCAGTCCCTGGCCCCACATGCCATGCTGGCCCTGTCCCTGGGAGCACTGAGCCAGAGACTGAGACAGGATGTGGTGACGTACACCTGTAATCCCAGCACTGGGGAGGCTGAAAATAGGAGGATTACTATGAGTCTGAGCTGCATAGTGAAACCCTGTACCAAGCACATAAAGATAAATAAAAATTCACCACTGGAAGATAAAGGATCTCTGAAATCACTGAGCAAAGATAAATTCACAATTACAGCATATATAGTAATATAAATAACATCAAAGCTTTTCCTATGGGAGGAACATTTACAGGAAAAGACCTGAGCGTTGTGAGCAGCTGACTTCTGCCTGATGCAAGCGCCTCTTGTGCCTCTTGCAGGCTACTTGGGCTATGACCACCTGGACCAGAAGTCGGTGGCAGGCATTGCAGTGGGCGTGGGCACCGCCTTGACCTGCATCCTGGTCTGCGTTCTCATCCTGATCTGCCGGAGCAAGGCCAGGTGCGTGCCCTGCTGGGACAGCAGTGAGACCACACATGGCTTGGGATCGTGAGGACTTATCCTCTGGGTGTTCTGTTGCTGGCCTTGCACAGCTGTGAAGTGTGTTCCTTCTGTGGGGAGCTTGTGTTACCGCCATTTGCAAAGCCTCGAATAAGGACCTGGTTTCCTCACTTCTTTAGTATTTTGAAATGCAGAGCATTTTCTCGAGCCTGGATCTTGTTGTTAGCATCACCTCGGTCCCACGGGTTAGTTTCCTGAAAGGACTCCTGGCTCCTGAAGCATCTTCTGTTAAGCAGCAGTGGCGAGGAAGCAGGGTCACTGGGAACAGACTCCCCACCTGGGCGGAAAGAGCAGGGGCAGCTTAGCTGGAGCCTGCCTGGCAGCCTCCTCAGTGGTTGACTTAGGTTAGACTTTCACCAGTAACTTGCATGCAGTGAGCTTGACTTTTTAACCTTTTCTATTTTGGCTTTTGCCTTCATTAATTTTCTTAAGGTTTTTTTGTTTGTTTTGGATACCAGGAAGCAAACTCAGCACCTGGTGCTTGCCAGGCAGGTGCTGTATCACTATATCAGCTTAGGGTTCTTTTTAAAAAAATGTTAAAAATCACAGTTTTTTAGGTAAGCCCCATCACTAGTCTCCCTTAGTTGGTGGAGAATTTTCAGGGCTCTGATGCCTATTTGTAGACATTTTTGGAAAACCTGCTAGTTAAAGACTTAGTTCTACCGGGCATGGTGGTACACACCTATAATCCCAGCTTTCAGGAGGCTGAGGCAGAAGAACCACCTGGAGTTCAAGGCCAGCCTGAACTATATAGCAAGACCCTATCATAAAAAACCCAACATGAATAAAGAGTTCTGACATCTTTATGCATTTTGAACTGGCTTAGTTGTGTAGCCTGATTCTTACTTTGACAATCTTGTACCTGAATTGCAGTACTGTTGTAAATTTACCATCCTTAATTGGCAACTGAATTGCTAGGTCAATGTAACAATCTGCAGAACTGAAGGGAAATAATATCAAGTGTTAAAATGTGATTTTGCACAAATATAAGCCACAGTAGTAAATTATAGCACTTGTGGCCTGGCCACATAGCTCAGTGGACTAAAGCGCCTGCTTAGGCAGAGCATAGGGACCTGGGTTCAATCCCTGGTGTGCCGAGCTGGCCCCAACCCCAGGGTGCACTAAACCAGTGATTGAGACTGGGTGTGGTGGCACGCGCCTGTATCCCAGTGGTTGGGAGGCTGAAAACAGGAGATTCACTGAGTCTGATCTATGTAGTGAGAGCCTGTAGACCCTGTACTAAATTTAAAAAAA